AAAAAAAAAGAAAGAAAAAGTAAACCAGACGCATAAAAAATAAAGCGAAAAACTATATACATATAATATGTATATATAGAAAAATGTGGTTATATGAAAAACTGAAAAACATGGTGCATAACTGACAAACGAGTTCTGGCAGACAGATAACAGCAACAACAACAACAACAACTGCTACTACTACTACAACAAATCTAATATAAAAGCCTCGCTTGACTAAATGTAAAAAATGTTAAGTATACCAGAAATTTATGGCGTATAATTTTTTGCTTTTTTTTTGTTTTTTATTTTTTATAATTTGGTGTGAAAATAAATATATAAATGTATAATGCAGAAAAGTAAACATATAAAGAAAAAAAAGTGGAAAATTGTGGAAAAACATTGTGAAACAATTTCTCTAATTAATTGTACAAACAGTTGTTTGTTGTTGTTATTGTTGTTGTTGCTGCTGCGATTTTATTGCACATTTTCCGCTTTTGGCTTGGCGAATGCGCGACTGGCTGCCACATGTGGCATGGTTGCCAGCCCACCCAGACGCCGCCAAATTGCCAAACGGCGCGACAACATATTTGAGATGGCAAAAGCTTTAGCTAATTTAACGCGTATTTCAGTTGACTTTTTTGCACTCGATTCATTACATTTATGCATTCATTCTCTCTCTCTCTCTCTCTCTCTTGCAGGATGCCAGTCATGTTGCCGCACCCAACAACAGCAACAGCAACAGCAACAACTTGCCGCAGCCAGCGACGGCCGCAGCGGAGCCAGCGCTAAATGTCGAGGCTGTCATATTGCAGAATCAGGTGGACACATTGCAATGGCAATTGAAGCAGGTGAGTGACTGCAACAAAAGACTTAAGACACAAACTTCACATTAGAATCGAGTCGAGACTCGGCGACACAGAAAACGTGACTTTAGCGCTAACATTGGCTTGTTGTTCATAGCCCTACTCCCCCGCCGCCCTCAGCCTCTGCCCTCCGTCTCTACCCTCTGCCTCTGCCCTCTGCCCCGCTCCTTACGCCTCCCGTGCTGCTGCTCTACATAGTTTAAACTTCAACCTGTTTCCCTTGACTTTTAAGACATGTGTGCGCCTGCCTCTCGCTCTCCCTTCCTCTCTGTCTCTCTCTTACACTGCCTACAATATATTCTCACGCTTATAATTATAGACAGAGCGAGGGAGAGGGAGCGAGAAATAGAGACTTTGTCTGCGGCCACACTTAATAAACACAACTCCCCCTCCCTCCCTCCCTCTCTCGCTCTGCTTCCCCTTCTACTCATGCTAAGTGGCCTTTGTTCGTTTTTCTTTGTATCTCATCGTCGCATTTCCTTGATTTCTGTTATTTTTATTTTATTTTTTTTATGCTTTTGCTGTCCGGCTGTTCGGCTGCGTGTTAGGGCCACGTCCAGCCACATCCACAATTAGGCGGCACATTCTTTTTAACGCTTAATTATAGACCGGCCTGCCTGGTGGTCGCCAGCACCACTCGATTCTATATTCTCCAGCTCAGCTCTTTGCTTCTCCTCTCTTTATTTCCATTCTGTTTGGCGTCTCATTGTCTTTTAGCCATTTCCTCAATGGCTGAAAACTTGCGGCATTCATTTTATATTTCCTCAAACAAAAGATTCTAGAGCGAGAGAGAAAGAGAGAGAGAGAGAGAGATGGCGACTTTTATTGACTGCTGATGGACAAGTATAGCATTTAAATGCCAGGCCTACTGTGCTGCCAATCAGATAGAAATGTTCGAGATTTTTTAACAAAGATTTCAACTT